ACTAACAAAGAAAGTGCTATGGTTCATACCTTGCTAATGTACAGTAAGGTTCTGTATGAACAACAAGCACCTCAAACTATTTGCTGAATGCCCAGACAGACCAGACTTAGGGTCACTAATACATGTGTAAAAAAACCCTACATTTTACAGTCTCCGGAAAATGTATTAACATCAACATAGCATTATCCCGAAGTGCGATTCCCAAGTTTTTTAAGCCTCTGCACCTATTTATAATGATTTTTCATTATCATTTTCATTGTCAACCCCCAAACACACATACACCTTTTTTAGCAACCAACCCCTCCCTCCCTTCCTCTGATATCTCGTTCAACGCACACTGCAGGCATACTATATAGTTATTCATACCGTATTGCCATAGTCATAGCCTGTACCTACCTGTATCAATAGACATTCATGAAGACATATATTTATATTTATATATCATTCATTCCTTGCGCTTTGTATAACAATGTGTTATTCTATTTAATTATTGCTTAAGCACTTCTGGTTAGACGCTATCTGCATTTCGTTGCTTTGTACCAGTGACATGCGCAATGACAATAAGGTTGAATCTAATCTAATCTAAAATCTAATCTACAAGTGTAGGCTATAGCCTTAGTGTTATTTGCACAGAACAAAATATTTTAAAAAATACCAAGTCAAAAACTCTGTCAGAAGAATCGTGTTTCTACTTTGCATGACATATGAGACCCAATCAGAGACAAATATGAGAGTCTGCGTCACCGTTTCTAAAGTCCTCTGTTTTTGCCCGTCCACACTAAGGCCTAGTCCACACGTGCGCAGGTATTTTTTAGGAATTTTTCCTCCTTTGTTTTAAAAAAAATCTCTGTCTATATGAAAACGCACAAACACGCTTTCAAGCTCTGTCAAATGCCAAACCACTGCAACCGGCGTTTCTTACAATCTTCACCCTGGCAAGGGTTTTCAATAATGGTCAGTTTCGGTGACCTGATACTGCATTTCCGTGTGGACGAACGGCCAAACCGCGTAGAAAAAGTTACGGTTTTGAAAATACCTGTGTTAGTGTAGACAGCCTAAAACGCTCTCTGGAGTTTCAAAAGGGAAAACGGGGTCGGCAGCTTTTTCAAACTTCTCCATTCAGGTCTTAATTTTCGCCGTTTTAGTCTGGATGGGTGTGCAAACATAGCAAAACGTCTCCGTTTTAAAACAAAAACGCAGTAGTGTGGATGGGGCCTGGGGGATGAATGAGGGACACTGGTGATTCAACTTTAGGGATGAAGGTGGAAAGTTGGATTGAAGCCTGGAGATAGCTACTACTGCTACTTCTCACCTGTGTTTGTCTGTCAGTGGCAGTTTCATGTTACTGTGCATAGATGGCAGTCCAAGGTGTGACTTAAATGAGTAGTACTTTCTCAGCTGGACAAGGCTGATTCTTTTAACCTGGAAATAAAATATACTGTCACACACAGCTGCTTCAATCTAAGGCCGCTGTCTGCCTGTTATGTCTGCCTTGTTCTACTTTTGTGAGTTAGGATGCAAGGTTTCATGCTGTATGTCCCAGGCCAGCTCACTGTGTGTATGTGTGTGTGTGTTTGTTTGTATAGGTGAGAAAAAACTCACAGGGGATGATGCTGTCTTCATCTGAGCTGTCAGGGTCAATGAGTTTCTCCTTTGCCTTCTCCGTCCTCTCTTTAAACATCTTAACCAGCTCCTGAAGACGCTCGTTGACCACTGTACTGGTCTGACTGGCTGCAGAAGCAGGACGTTCTTTCAGCCTTGAAAAATAAAGTCAGAAATAAAATTAGCTGATGGATTTTTTATGAATGTCCATATATTGTGTGTGTGTGTAAGAGAGAGCGAGTGTGTATTACTCATGTTGTGAGGACATTAATCTGATTACACATTTATATTGTAGGGCCTTCCTTATGGGCCCCAACTCCCCATAACGTAAATCATAAAGTTTTTGGGTTAATACTTGGTTTGAGGTTAGGCTTCGGATACTTTTCCATAAGTCAGTGTAATGTCCTCTAATGTGAAAACATGACTGTGTGCGTGTATTTGTGTACAGTGCTCACATGTCATCTGCGCTGTGCAAGCTGGACTGGCTGGGCCAGGCTCTGACAGGGATGCTTGCTTCATCGTCATCATCTTCACTTTGAGAGTGCAGCCTCCTATCGCTAAAGTTAGACACAGCAACATCTTTCAGACTGTGCAGCCTTAGTTAGGTTATTGTTTCCTTCTCTTTCTGTGACGTTACTGTACAACATGTAAAACATTATTTGCAAACACAAATCACGTTATTGTCATACAGTTCTGCCTAATAAAATGACAGACGTTGTCCAAGGGAAAATGGAAAAACTACATGCTGCTAGTGATTGTGAGGAATGCAAATGATTTATGATTTTATGAGTGAATGGGCAAAGGCAGGCAGGATATGAAATGCATGGATTAATGAATGGCGATGGATAATATATCGACTGGGCAGCACGATGTGTGGGGAAAGCAATTAGATGGATACTAGATGAGTTGATACAGTATTTAATAAGGGTAGGATATCTTACATCTTTGTCCAGATAGTCCTTCGATTCCTTCCACCACTGTCGTGGACGGTCAGAGCAGGGTTTTAATTGATTGTGTGTGTTTAAGAGAGAGGGACGGGGGAGAGAGGGGTTTGTGTGTGGTGTGTGTTGGCAGGGAAAGCATGATATTATTCCAAGAAACAGATAACAAGTGAAGATAATCACCCACAGTGCTCTGCAGGTAGGTGACACAGTGATGATGCAAGCGCAAGACTGTGACGCATATGTTTATTGACTTTTGATATGTTATGACAATATCCGCACAGTAGCCAAAAGCACAATCTGTGAAAGCCATGCAAAACTACCTTCACAACACAACATTACAACACAGAACGACACAAAACACAAAACACTCCATACTATGATTTTACATTGGTCTACACTGCACACAGCATCTATTGCTCGTCTGTTTGTCCTGGGAGAGGGATCCCTCCTCTGTTGATGTTCCTGAGTTTTGTCCCATTTTTTCCCCCTTAAAATCGAGGGTCTAAGGACAGAGGGTGTGCTGTGCAGGTTGTAAATTCTCCATGAGGCTGATTTGTGATAATGGGCTATAGAAATAACACTGTCTTGACTTTCGAAAACATTTCAACTTGCTTGTGTCATTTTAGCAGTTCTTGTTGTCTTTTATGTGCAGAAAAGATTTCATAACCTTGGGACCAAATCGATAGACATTTCAGATTTTGGTTTCTGCAGGACACTGACGTATGTAAAGACCAATACGATGCTTCTAACTACTGACATACAGCAGACAGTAGAGGGCAGTAGATGCATTTCAAACTGCACAAAACAGGGAAAACATGAAGAGTTTCACTCCAAAATGATAATAATTTAACAATTAAAACCATGAACACAATTCTATCACTGAAATTATTTGTCTTTTTAGATGTTTTGTAATCTAGAGTCTTCAGAAGTTTGTGTTTTGCCAGCTACCAATATATCATTTGATCTCATTTGGATGAAAACACTCCACAACAGAGAAGCTTACACCTTGACGTAACCCAAATAACACATCCTACTGATCTTACTTTGCTTTCCTCTCTTGTGAAATCATTAGCCATAAGTGCATATAACAGCTATGCATATGTATTGTTTCACTGGAGGAAAAGACTAATCACTGCTGAAAGACAATTAAAAGCGCTAGTACAACTCCAACGATCCATGCAGTTTCCTTACTCTTTGTCTCCTTTACTGTGGATAAAAAGCATGAGGGGAGAGAAAAAGATAACAAATGTTATAATGCACACCCAGATAAACTGAAATATTACTGGAATAATACCCTCTCAGTTATACAATTCTAGCTGATTGCTAGGGGTGGTACTTCTCACCTTTGACGACCTCCAGAAGGGGGTCACAGGGACAGTGAGGGTCGTAAGTTTGGGGTCCTGGGGGGTGAGGATTTTGGGGTTATTGCTCTCCTCCACCCTTCCTCCTCTCTCATGATCAACATCCTCTACATTGACGGCTGGACGAAGGCTGAGGCTAGAGCTCTCTGGAGAGTTTGAAAGGCACAAAATGTTTGTAGATTAACGAAGAGCATCACAAATAATGCGCACGTGTTAGCATTGACACTGCAGTGCAGAACAGCAGTAAGCAAAGCAGGTCACAATTCTGAGCAGAGGCCAGGCAGGGCAGCGTGAGAGGGAAGCAGATTTACCGAGACCTACATTGCGCTAATGCAAGAGGATCCACCTGTGAACTAGGCCATGTATAAGAGTGACCTGATAGCTGAGAGGACTAGTTTACTCATTTGGCAAGCCATTCAGTCTGGCTAATCTGGCTCATGGTGAGCTGGCACACTTCTGTCTTCTTCATCAGATACAAAAAGTGCCCTGTAAGTCAGTGTGCTGCCTCCTCTTGTACATTGTTCACAATTTGTTTCAGACTTTATCAACACTATATGGAAATGAACGGCAGGATGTGCATGTGCGTGGATGTTTATTTTTTTGGATCTTCAAAGCCCTAGCAAACAAATTAACTGCAGTGCTTTATTCACATCATGTCTGAGCTTATTAGACACATGACACAAAGAGACAACACATAAACATACAAAAAAGACCACTACCACAACAACCAAACTGCTACTGTTTTTCCGTGACAGCATGTTCAGGGTTATGAACACGCTGTCGTTTGCCATCTCATTTGACATCTGAACTCAGGTGATCATTTACTGCTTGCAAAATGTCTTTGTTATTTTAAGAAAAGTTTTGTAGCAATCAGTTGTTCTTTCAATTTTAGAGCTATTTTATCCTGATGCCACACATTATGAGACAACTGTTGACCTATTAGGACTGAGTTCAGGTATCTACAAGGAATCTTATGATGGAACACAGTTAACTTTCCACTGCTGCAGATTCACCTGTGGGTTTTATTGCTGAAATGTCATCTTCAATGAAGAACGCTGGGTTAGAGAGACCTGACAGCTTGTGGGATGGTGAGTTGAGCTGCTTTGATGGGGGGCCGACAATTGGCGGCAGGCGTGGGTAGGATGGCACATTAGGCAAGTCGAGGGTGCTACCGTTGGGGGAAGATGGAGATGGGGAGCGGGACCGGAGGTGAGGGTGGTGAGGAGGAGGGAGAGGGGAGTGTCGGACGAGCCGGTAGAGTTCAATGTCTTGCTGATTCTTGTCGTGATTCTGTTTTTGCTGTTGTTGTTGTTGTTGTTGTTGTTGTTGTTGTTGTTGTTGTTGTTGTGTATTAGGCATCTTGAGGCATAAGGCTGTTGAGGCGGTTCCGGACGTTGAGGAAATACTGCTGCGTTCGACTGGGAAACTGGGAGAGCTTCTGCGGGATCGTTGAAAAGCTCTGGGAAAGACTGGACAGACTGGGGCCAACGGAACCGTCTGAGCTTTTGGGCAATAGCTCAGTCAGTGTCTGGGCGATATTTCGTGGGACCTGCGTGAGTCGGATTTGGGAGAGCTCTTGGCGCAATTCAGGGGGCAGGGTGGGTAAGTACTTGGTAACGTCAGAGAGCTGGGTGGGTAGCTTAGGCATGGGGGGTATTTTGGGAGTGGAGATGCCGTTCTCTTTGAAGAACGCGTTGATGTTGCCGAGGCACTCAGAGGTGTGAGGAATGCGCATCAGGCAGCTCTTTAATGCATCACAGCTGACTGGAGCTATAGAGGAGACAGGTGGATAGGCAGATATACAGTCAGGCAGAATATAAGCAAGGTGGGAGATGGGTTCAATAGACAGCCAAACAGCAATGTAGTCAGTTTGAATCTGCCATTCTGATAGACACAGAGGTACAATAATAAAATAAAACGCAGTCATAGTTGTCTGTCAGTTAAGCAGCTTGTGTGTTCAACACAATACAACTAGTCAGTCAGGCATACAGGAATGAAACTGCTAATTAGAGCATTAACAGCTCTAACCACAGTCTCCTATAGAATCTATAATGACGAATATTTTCCCATACAAAAAATAATAGTACATACCCCCACAGCCGTCCCCAGTAGCTTCCTCCTCCTACAAAAAACACAAAGCATGTGAATGAATGACAGGTGAGAAGATCACAAATTTGTATTATTGTTGCTAAGTACCCAATTGATACACACAAGTATCATCAGAGTAAAATGTGTCAATATCCGTTTTCTAATAAAGAACAAATATAGGACCTTTTATTAAAAAAACTATTTATATAAATAGATCTCCTACCATTGTGATCAGAAACATTGCTCTGAAGCATAGTTTCTAGTAAGTACATCAACTTCTGATCAACTCAATTTCAGGCTTAAATTATCAACTTCTGGTTAGTCCTGCCAATGTTCGGTTTAAACCTCACCCACTTCTAGTGCGGATACAGATAATTTAGTTGGTTGAACAGATACTGATACAGATAATGGTGTACTCGCACATCCCTAAGGTCAGGCCATGCAGTCATGTGTATTACAGTCTCATGGGTCATGAGATGAACCATTCATCACTGTGCATGTTCGAGCCGTGGACATTACTTTTTCACCAGCTTTGTCAGCGTTGGCGCTTCGATCGTCTTTCTCTGCTTTCTGCGGCTGCTTGGTTACAGGCTCAGCTTCTGAACTGGCTTCCTGGGTCGTGGTCTCTGGTTCTTGCTCTGGTTCTGGCTTTGGCTCTGGTTCTGGCTCTGGTTCTGACTTTGGCTCTGGCTCTGGCTCTGGCTCTGGTTCTGACTTTGGCTCTGGCTCTGGCTCTGGCTCTGGTTCTGGCTCTGGTTCTTGCTCAGGCTCAGAGGTCTTAACTGGTTCAGGACTTGGAGGTGGAAAGGGGGAAGTCTGCTGTGGCTCTGCTTCCTCCTTTGGCTCTAGATTTTTTTGAAATTATAGATGTCATGAGATATAAACATTAGAATACAACAGTGATAAACATGTGCCTGGTGTTGATGATACAGACATTATAGAAATATATAATGATTAACAAAATGATACAGACATTTTAGAAATAGACAATGATTAACAAATATTATATATATAAAATACCATTTATTATATTATAAGAATATAATATTGAATAATAATATTTTGCACGTGGACAGCGTGCTTTGCCATCTACTCAATTTTGTCATGATTTCTACCTGGTTCCTTAGATTCCTCAGTCTCTTCCTCCTGTTTCTCCTCAGCAAGGCTCTGTTCCTCTCTGCAGGACAGGACAAGGAACAAACTAGTTGGACAATTCATGTATCAGGCTGTCTGGCAGTGTGACAGGCCCCACATTGTAACGTGGTCCATTAAACAACAGTTGGTTGTATAAAAACAGTACTACAGTTAGGACAGACATGCTTGTATTTTTAGGGAAAACCTACCCAAACACAGAATGTACACTGTACTCTTCCAGCAATCTTGAAACGTAAAGTCAATATTTAAAACAAAGACAGCCATTTTCAGAAGTACTTGACTATTTAGTGCCTGTTTGTGAAGGTTTCCACCCTCTGAAATTAGTAATTTGACTGTATTTGAACATGTTAGAAACACATGGATTTAAAAAGAAAATGGACGTGACTCACTTTAAAAGTGTATGTACACAGTCAGCTAAAATGATACAGGTAATAGTGTAAAACTGTTCTTCTATTTTCCCTTTTTTTTTAGCATTATGTAACTGCTGTATTCAGCACACATTTGTTTCTCTACATTTAGATAGCATGTGATGTGTTGAATTGTCCAATGTAGGCACCCAGATTAGGTTAACAATGACATTATTATTTTACAGACTGCACTTGAAATGATGATACTGGAAAATGTGAAAACATGAACTTTCCTCGGTGTTAGCTAACTTAGCGTTCCCAATAGCCTGTAACGTTAGTAGTTTTTCTCTCTGTTGTTAGAATAAAACGACTGGCTTAGTGACCACCTGTAGCAGGATGCCTACAAAACGTTAATTAGGCCTACAGTATATGTTTACATTAGGGTAGAAGAACAGTTAGGGTTTATTAATTTCGTAACATATATAAGTACATTACATAATCACGCTGTTATGACAAGATACTCACTCGCCCCGTCACGTGCGTTAATCGTTAATAGTCCCGACAGAAAATGTCCACCAGCATCGACACAGTAACGTTAACACTAACTCTGCTGCGGAGTCTTATAAACCAGTTTAGGGGGGAAATATTCCGTCACACCTCCGTCCATCATTTTCCGTCTCTAGCAGCAGCAGGTGCAGAGTGTTACCGGGGGTGGGGGGACAGGGGGCCGGCTGTTGCCAAGTGAAGCTGTGGTTGCTATGGCACGGTAGTGTGATGCTGAGGCAGCGCGCGGCAAGGATCACATAACGAGAGCCCGCGGGATTTGGGAGCTGACAGCCGAATGACTGGATCAGCACGAGACTGAATTCACACGACTGTGCTGTGCAACAGGTTATACTGGGGCCCCGAGGTCTGTCAGTGGTGGGAAGTAACTATGCGGGTAACATTTCAGTTAGGCCGACCTGTGCTGTGTTTCTATTCCATAACACTTTATACTTCAGAGGGAAATACGCTATTGTTCTTTTTACTGAACTATATTTATTACGAGTTAGTTACTGTGTATATTCAGTTTCAGAACATCAGTTTGTTACAGTTTAAACTATATAACATAATTTAAATCAGCTCCCCCTCCACCAGTTGCAACATTAAAATACTGCTTGTTGAGGCAGAAGTCTTCTCTGTAGGGCATAAGTCAAAATAGAATAATAATAATGATTAAAAAAAAATGCTCTGAAAGGGTCCATATTGATGCATAATTAATGAAAAATTTAATGCATTCTTAGTTGTAATGCAGTCTCACTATAGTTCACTATATCATCATATGTGGGTTGAGGGTCTCAAGAAGGATTTCAAGGACGATAAGAACAGAGAAGCCTCCATATTTGCGTTCTGCGACTTTACTATAGTTCACTTCACTCTCCTCTTCTTGTGGCAATCTCTGCCTGGTCATAATGAACATGCAGTGTCACAAGGATGCAAACATTCAAAAATGCACAAACACTCTATCTCGCTCTCTAATTGAGCATAAGGTCTTACTCAGCTTCAGGCTCCTCCAGCAGGTCTTGACTCCCCAGTGAAAGTTTGATGGACTGTCCCTCACTGGTCATCTGTCTGATGGCCATCTCAGCTGTCTGCCTGGCCACCTCCTCAGCCATTCGAGCCATCTCCACGCGCTCCTGCAGCAGACTAAAGCGAGGCAGGACACACTGATATGATTGTGCTGTATGATAATTGTTAGTATTGTGGTAAATTAAATTTTGGATGTGACATGAGTCTCTACGGATCCAGTCAATCAAATCAAATACATAAACAGGAAGACTATAAGGGGCATAAAGCAAGGGAATCCATTAAAAAGAGGCTGAACTAACAAGTTACAGCTTGTGTTGTCGCTGATGTTTTGAGGAAGACTTTGATTTTGAATACTTCTACTACTACTTTAATACTATAAGTTAATCAAGATCAATACAATTGATGATTCTATGCATTAGAACTCTTAAAAAATGATGAAGGGAAATTTAAAAATGACATTTGTTTAGGTTTGCTGCATTTTTTTACTGAAAAGCAAACAACCTGTTGGCTTAACTGAACAGCTGGTATTATTGGCTTATCAGAGTCCAGTGTGACCACTCTTTGTGACTTAGTACTCTTGACTAACTTATTTTAATTATTATTTTAAATGATATGAATAATTTACACACAGTGGAAGTGTCTTTAATATGGCAATAGTCTGCAGCACCTCCACCCTCTTGTTCTCCACCTCTCTTACCGTTCCTCCATGGTAGCCAAAGCCACATCTTCGGCCTCCTTCTTGATGCTTTCAATGAATGGAGTCCAGCGGCCCGTCTGGGTCTCAGCATCTTCCTGAGATATCTTTGTCAAGCTCTCTGACCGTTCTGGTCCTGGGTTGGAGTCAACGCACTTTTGAGACTGCAGTGGTTTGGACTGTGTCTGCTGTGTCGCTTCTTGCTGTTGGTGTGTTGTCAGTGATGGTGCAGTCAGTGATGTGGACGGTGCTGCCGCTTTGGACTGATGTTCACGTTTCGGCTGGCCCTCGTTGTCTGACTCCACGTCTTCTAGTACCATGTCAGGTTTGAGTTTGGATGAAACTACGAGAGGGTGACATGGATCAATTTGTGTGTAAGGAGCAAGAGACTTGTGGTTGACATTGGACATGTTGGTGATGGATGTTGGTTCTGGTTTTTTCTATATGAAGGATTTTTTTGTATGGACACACATTACAAACTGGATTTGATCTACTGATGGAATTAATAAAGTACCAGGGTTTCAGACAGGGCTGCTTATAATGCAGGTATACAACTGTAAAGTTTCTATATGCTCTGTCACTTTTTTGGTTTCATGTTGGAAGTTCTTAAGAGATGGAACATTTAATTCATCTTTGTGTGTTGATGATGTATGGCGGTAATGGAAGTGTTTCAAGTGGGCACGGATGCTGTCAGGCTTAAGTTGTTCTTTATACCAATTATTGGGCAGGTTATTGATAAGACCACCACATGAATCATTTCATACTGACTCTTTATTATTCCTGCATTATCCTTACAATACAGTACTTAATTATATGAATGTGTTCCAACACCTTGTCTGCATCACAGCCAACATGTTTTCAATGTGAGCAAGTATGGCTCCTTCAAACCAAGTCAAACTCTCTGAAGCAACACCACGCCACATCCCCAGGCCACATTTCACAGTTCAAGGCCATAGAAATATATCAAGTGGATCATAGTAGGCCATACACTGCATGCTGTACTCATGCATTTGTGTTGTGCAATGTCAATTAAACCTGTGAAAAAGCTTACACAAAATGTAATGTGATCAAGACTCGATCTGAACTCAACTTTCTTTGAGCACAATAATTAATGGATTTTTAAGGAGTAGGACTTATACATGAAAAATAAACTTTTCCACTAAATATCATGTATAAATATAGATATGGTTTATAATTTGCCTATGAACATCAATAGCTGCCATTTAAATATTATTTCCAGATTTCTGTGAATTGCTAGCGGAAGATTTGACATTTTATGCTAATGTTCTTCTAAACAGAAACAGATTTCTGTTTAAATGAATGACAATTACATAATCTTTTCATCTCCTATTGCTCTTTTGCTGGATGTGAAAATGGCAACGTGAATATATAGTGTAAATTGCCATAGGTGAAAGCACAATAGTAGTAAAATATACTGTCTGCAATCTTTTATTCTACAGGAATTTCAAATGAATGGCAATTACTAAATGATTCTGTGGCAAATAGAAAATGTGCAAATTCAAATCACAAAGACTGAAGACAGAAACACATACGATTAGCTATAGAATACACAGTACAAGTTTTAGTTATATAACAGTGCACACATTTTACGCTGTAATACATTCATATGAAACTGTACTGAGTACAGTAAGGTGAGTTGAATATATCTCTATATTCATTAGTATTTTACAGCTGCCTAGTTTCTGTACTGAGCTGCACGCTGTACAGCACCTGTTGTTCTGCCAACAGCACAATATGTCTATCTGTATGTGTCTGTCTGTCTGTGTGTGGGAATCAGAGCGTTCCCCAGTCGTCTCCTCCTGCTGTTTAAGGGGCTCGCAGCGCCTTCCCCCCTGAAACAGAAGGAGAAGAGGGACTGAGTTAGGCTCCGACCGTCCAACCAAAACACCTCTTCAAAGACTATTGGAGGAAAAACAAGACGGTGCTTCAGCAGAAAACACATTTACAATACTATCCAAATATGACACGGGAGTTACTCAAAAGGCATACTGGCATACAGTATTTCGCCAGTAGAGTAATGACTTGAACGCACCCCATGCTATTAAAGAGATGTTTTTAGAATTACTCTCTAGTAACAACATTTTGTGATGTAGATCTACTTGATTGAACTGTGAATTGTGGCACTCTGGAACAGTGGCAGGCAAGAAAATGGCTAGCAGATGGTTTTCTGTAACTACAGGAAGGTAGAAGAATAAAACCTAAACTCACCTTTCTGTAGAACTTCAGCTGGACTCTGAGAGCAAAAAAAAAGAAAAAGCAGTTGTATAAGTTGAATTGCTTTCAATATAGTTCTAAAATGAGAGTGACAATAAATACCAGAAAAGATGGATGGTAAAGGAAAGGTTGACAGGTTGAAAGACAAAGAAAGAAGCAGCTGTTTATTCCCAAAAGTTACCTCAGAATCATCTTTGGGTGGAATGGCAGGCTGAGGCATCTTCAGGCCCAGTCCTGACACGAACCAGCCAACCACACTGTCGAGAGACAAGCTAATTAACTGTATGCATTTAAGCTGTTACACACTTAAAACACATACATTTTGCTGCTTTTCAACATCCCAGCCCTCCAATTATAAAGGTAATTTCAAAGATCTGTTGGTGTAGTAAGATCGATGGATTGAAGGATGACAAATTAAGCCAATTAAGACTCTCGCTCCTGAAGCATCATGCGTTCCAGCTTGCCAAGCTGTGCGCATGGCTTCTGACATTACTGAACTTTGTCCATATAGTGGTAGTAAGATGATGCCACAGTATGCTTTGATGCTTTGTCCAAGGGGAGCCTATAAAAACCTTAAATGGTGCGCTCAGCTTTAATAATTGGGAACTAGCAGAGATACAGACTACACCTTTTCATGGAAGACACTTTGTCTAGCAGAGGTGTCACGGCTTACTGGGACTTGAGCAGAATGGAGCCATTGTTAATGTTATTAGTAACACCCTAGCTTTTCCTTTTTAGTATGACACGTCAAGATGTCTGCTGTGAAAAAGGTCTATTCTGGCTCTTCTATGCAAAGATGCCGACCTTCATTGGCCTTAAAAGCACCACTTTAAACGCACAATTAGTCACAATTATCTAAATTCCCATGGAATTTGATTTTTTTTAGAGATCATTAAAGTGTGATTTTATCTTTTATGAGATTTTCAAAATGGCAATGAGGGATCAAAACGTACCCCGTGGCCTTGCTATCAGTATCCAGTGAGATTCCACTGAGAGATTCGGGTGGTGGAGACAAAACTGGAGAGAAGAGAAAGACATGAAATTCAGTGTGCAAGATGCTGTACAAAACAAATGTCCATCCATTAAAGTCAAAATATGTTGAGTATTGGAGATCTTAAGACTTGAAGGTTTCAAGGAGGTAAGTTGTGACTGTCCATGCCAGTGTGTGTAGGTTTGCACTGTGGGTAAACACACGCCCACTGGTGTGCATTGGGGCAAATGTACATTCGTGTGTGTGTGTGTGTGTGTGTGTGTGTGTGTGTGTGTGTACTTTTGTCCAGAGATGAGCGAGAGGACTTGTTTGATGGTTCAATGGGTACAGCACCAGGCGGCAGTATAACTGGCTGAGGGATGATCTGCTTTATCCACTTCACCACCCTGCAGTAGAAAAAGACAAAGCTCCTCACTACCTAGTCTGATGTGTGTGTGTGTGTGTGTGTGTGTGTGTGTGTGTGTGTGTGTGTGTGTGTGTGTGTGCGATAGTCTAGCAATGTCCGGCTGATCATGCTACTGCACTTTGGACTAAAAATATAAAATCTATAATCTATACACAAAGGGATCCGTCAAATGTCAGGTAGTGTTGGGTATGTGTTGGTGTGTCAAGGTTCAGCTCTTATCACTGTCTATGTGTAGAAATTATACTCACTTGGGAGGGAATTGAGGGGTCTCTACCTCCATCTCATCCTCTGACTCTACCTCCACCACTGGGATGTGTGGGAGGGGATCAAAATCTGGACAGACAGACAGACTAGTCAGACAGCAGAGATCAGCTCCCCAGTCCGGGTGGTAAAATACTGATATTTAATCACAAATTTAAACATTTTTGAACATTTATTTCTCTGTAAAATGGCGAAACACATAGGCAAATGATCAAGAAACATACCTGGCATTGTTGCTAACTCATAGACCTAGGGCAAAAGAGACAACATGCATTTGAAGTCAAAGCAACAGAGCATGGTTTTAACATTTTCTTAAGTGTCTTACTTTATTCTTGTAGCACTTATTGTATTATTAATGAAAAAATAATGAATGTGCTTGTGTATTACACCCATTGTGTCAACGTGAGCCCCACAGAGGTTAATGATGGTCTGTTATTTGCTTGTCCATCAACTCTACAGTATAAGCCAAATGTGTGTCTCCTCATGCAAGCTCTGCTGGGGCCAGATTTAATCATCTCTAATATAAACATTTTTGATAAATGTATATCCCTTTTTTAAATTAAGTTAAAAATCAACAAAATGTTATTTAAAAAATGTGTCTGATTTGTTGTGAGGAGTTGTCTTGATGTTTGTCACTGCAGCCCCGAGGCTTCCAGGTAAGAGCATTGTCACACGAGGAAACTGGTTTAAATAGCAGGGAAGTTATTGGAGGGCTTTAACCTGGCTAAAGCCCCTGTGGATTCCTTTATAAGCTTAATCCTAACACATGATTAGTCATATAAGCCTGTGGGACAGTATTAAGTTGTGTCAAGTGTCACACAGTTCAAAGACGTAGATTCTCTTGTTGACTGAACTACTAGATTTATCCATTTGCACATACATAAGTAAAAACTTAATTAAATAAAACACATTCCTATTACGTAGGAGTATTTGTTTCTGGGGAGAAAAGTAATGTACTAGACTGGCTTATTGACGACCATGCATTTGATTACATAGGAGTTGTTGTTCCTCGATGTTAAGATAATATAATAACAATATATAATTTATATGCCAAATAAGTTTTAGGTTTTGTTTTAAGGCACTAAGTTTGTAGCAGTACTGATAATAGCACTAGTAGTTCAGATGTTGTCTTGTACTGTGAAGTTTTATCTGTATCACTAAACTTTATAGTTTACTGGCTAAATAGACTAAAAAGTCCAAGCCTTTCACCTCAGTGTGTTCGTCATTGCTGGTGTCGATAATCTCTCTCTCTTTGTATTTTTCATCAGGCTGAGGCAACACCTTGGTTAGACCCTGAGTGACCCAGTTTATGACTCCAGACCTGGGAGAAAAACATATTTGTATTTAACTTTTGAAGACCGTATTTAACATTAAATATTCACTCCTATCTAATCATACTATACCTTTCTCCGTCCTCTCCAGACTGGTTATGGAAGGCAAAAAAAGAACAAAATAGAGAATGAAAGGCCAAAAAATTCAACTCCAAATGTCCCTTCCTCTTGTTTTGTCTTTGTCAAACTGACACCAGGTTTATTGTGCAATAACAGTAGAAAAGAGCACTTGATCTGAAATATTTCCTTGTTGAACGTTATTTATTTAATAAGTGTTATTTGCTTTAATAAGTGTCTTATTATTTATAATATTTTAGTCATAGAAGGCATGAAGTGATCATAGAAAACATGAAGCACAGAAGAGGGGTCTTGACCTTTGCATACCAGAGCAAATATTTAACTGGACTTGCTAATGAAGGCGTTTCAGAGAATAGTCTCCATATAACTGGGTGCTGGCTCCGCTGTGCTGGGAACAGGCTTCGGATACAGGATACAGATATAGGTAGGCAGGAAATTCTTTATGCCATCACACAGGTAAAGCATAATGGCATCCGATCACGTTTTAATTTTATAACCAATAACTTCTGGGTTTTGACTGTGGACCAATGGGAATATCCTGGAGGAGCATGTCTTAAAAATATAAGTGAATGCATGACTGAGCTTTGGTGTTTTTTTCATGAACTAACTCGATTGAATTTGTACCCTGCATTGACATTACCTTAAATATATTTTGCATTGAACTCTATCTGGCCCAGGTGAAGGTTTTTTTTTCCCGTAACAATGTCCTGGTGCTTCATTAAGACAGACATCGATAAAATGACAATGTGCAAAGACAAGTTTGTACTAAAGCTTCCCATTGAAGTTTCACTTTGAAGTGGGACATGACTGGCTGATATGTTTGGATTACCAATTTATCAGTCAGTTGCTTAACCAGCAAACAGATTTATTTCTCATAGGACAATATGTAGACGACCTGACGTCAACATGAGCACACAAACATGTACATGAGTTAGTATGCACTCACTTTGGCGTCAGAGTTGGACCTGCTGAGTCGAGGGGAGCCTGAAGGTTGAGGCAGGGAGCTGACAAACCCATTGGACAGCCAGCCTAAAACTCCAGTCTGGGCCTGGCTGCAGAGGAGGTGAGGAAAGATGGTAAGATGTTGGTACTTCCACACACACACACACACAAACTAATGGACAGAGAGGTTTACCTGTCCTCTGAAACCTCGTCTGTGTTTTTCTGTAGAGGACTCTTCACTGTGGGATTAGTTAAAACCAAAATATACTTGTGTTTTAGATGCATTCTTACACATAAGCAAACAACTCATGTAAACACATATATATGTGCATACATATCTAAAGGTGCAGTGCAAACAGCATGAAACAAGTTGAAAATAATCCTAACCTTTATTTTTGGGGAGGTCCTGCAAGGTCAGACAGACAGAGACAAAAAAGAGTGAGAAGAAATACTTGGAAGTTATACTGTATTTGGTCTGATGTGTGTTGATTATGTGTGTGTGTGTGTGTGTGTGTGTATGTGGTCTGATGTGTGTTGATTATGTGTGTGTGTGTGTATGTGGTCTGATGTGTGTTGATTGTGTGTGTGTGTGTGTTGATTGTGTGTGTGTGTGTGTGTGTGTGTGTGTGTGTGTATGTGGTCTGATGTGTGTTGATTATGTGTGTGTGTGTGTGTGTGTGTATGTGGTCTGATGTGTGTTGATTGTGTGTGTGTGTGTGTTGATTGTGTGTGTGTGTGTGTGTGTGTGTGTGTGTGTGTGTGTGTGTGTGTTGTCGTACAGCATCAGGGATCTTAAAAGCTTCGTCTGTCCCGGGAGCTTCAGGGAGTTGGGGGACCACTTTCACCACCCAGTTAAACATCCTGTTGAACACACACACATAGTCAGCCACTCAAATGCCCTTCATCGAAACATTGTTGATAATGATGATGATGATAATGATGATAATTGCTATTACTCTTTCCTCGTGTCTTCATTAAAGCAGCCACTTCATCTGTCAGACAGAGAGCCCTTAGCTGGAGCTAATGAGGTCTGATGAAGGACACTCACCTGCCTCATTTTTGCTCTCTCTAATATCACTCTATGGTCTTCTTGACTCATTTTTCAATCACAGATTTAAAAACTTTTACAGTGGTGCCTGGAATATGAATTAGAAAATATTTGACTCTAGCTTAATCAATTAAAACATTAGTTAGGTAAAGCTGGAATCGTATATAACTGAATAAATTAGGTTGTCATGTGCATCCATGAATTATCCAAAATCTCACAGTGAACTCAGAGAGGAGAGACACACCAGAACCCTGTTTTTTATGCAAATCTTGCACATAAGTCAAAAGTCAGGGGAGACTAAAAGGCAGAGGGGCAGAGGTTAACTGCACCATAAGCTGCTTTACCAACAGCATCCTCAGGTGACAGAGAGTTAAATCAGACCAGGAGAAATCAGTCACAAATGTTCAGGAAGGAGGACAACTGAAAGGGGTTTACAGAGCTAGCGAGGTTGCCACTTGGCTGTTTTTTTTGTATTATCTGCTGTGACAGTTTATCAGACTGTTGAAATATTCCACTTCAGAAATTGTGCAAAGAGCCACTGCACCTGCAGGATGTCCTGCTAACTGACCATAGCAGGCAGGTCGGCAGCAACCAGGACGGCTGTCTTAGCTGTCTTGACAAATATAATGATTTCTAAATGTCCATGGACAATAATCACAATTTAGTCAAATTCAAATAGTTCCTTTTGCTGATACAACTAAAAGGTACAGTATCTTTAATTTGTTTTGCATTGCTTGCATCTACTTTATGTCCAGAGCCAAGAGGATATCCATTGTATCTATAATGCGACCAAAAAGAGGCCAGGAAGGTCTGTTGGAGCTAAATGTACACTCTAGACATAGAGGGAAAATATATATAGCCTGAATGAAGTTTCACAGCTCGCAGAGTTTACAAATTATGTAGGTGCGGGATTGGTTATCTATGAAGTGTTTGTCTGTTCATAGAAAATCCACATACAAGGTTTCTTTCCAAAGCTGTTTTCTCTGTTATTCCAGAGTGTGTTTACTGACACACTGTCCCAATCAGCAGAGATCAGAGGGGCCTCTTCCCTGGCCTAATTTCAAGTTCGTAGCATTGGATTAAATAGTGCAGCTCTCCCTCCTAACTAATCTACAGCCTTCCTCGCTGCTTAAGGCCTGGATCAATTCCTCGCGTATGTCCTCATCACACCAGGTCATTCATCAAAAGAGCATAAATCAGAGGGCGACACTCCAAAGATGTAATTCTTTTGTCTACTAATTTAGGAAGGATTTGTGCATTTAAGCCTGTCTGTCCTCAGATAAAACCTGGCAGTATAGACTTTGACAAAAGCAAATCCGAAGCTATAGAAAAAAATAACCAGTCAAAACATTAATCAACATTTCTGCTCACATAAACAGCGACTTCACCTACTGTCTATTTACCAAGACAGATCATCATGACACTCACCTCAAATCAGCACTCAGGAATTCATTTTACCACTATATGTTAATTTGTGTATTTCCCTGTATCTGTAAAGAATAACTGAGACTTCCTTACCTGCGTGTCTACAGGTGGTTCTGCATGCCGGTGGCGTAGAGATCCAGAGTGCGGCACTGCCAGCACAGGTCTGCTGGGATTTCCACAGCGGCAACAGGATTAACCAGCACCACCTGAAGGTCAAGGCACAATCCTGGACTGTGAGCCCACACAGATTAACAGCAGAGAAACGTATCATCAGGACATCTTCCCTGTAACTATACTACAAATACTGCTACCTATAAACTGTTACCACTCCAAGGAAGACAGCAACAAGCACCACGTGGATAGTCCAACCTCACATAACCACAGACTACAGGGGGTTTGTGAAAGAAAGAGCACTTTTTCTACCACCATTGTGACATAGTGCAAGATGCAAAGTATTGGTGTGATATTATGTGTTTGCGTCTGGATTATGAATCTTTGTTTGTTGCACTCTGCCTCTCTGCCCAAGGAGGGAAACTTTCCTGATATTCTGATATTCAGTATACTGATCTGAAAAGGGGTATAGTTTGTTTTCAATCGCCCTTTGTTTATAATCAAGTTACATAGAATAATTTAAAATGCAAATTTTCAAATGTCAAATGTCTCTTTTCTGCACTATATGCACAATGCACTTGGTATATGAGGCAGCTAGAGTCAACTATGCTCTCCTCCACCTTGTCATCTCTGTTCGCTATTATCTCATATCCCATCCTCATTACAGTTTTATCCCATGTTTTATCCCCAGCAAGTGACGCAGGGCCCCTTATGCTGACTGGCCAGCGATGAGCTATATAAAGCCAACCTTTTGACTAAATAACTGTCAGCAGGAGACAGAGGAAGGTAAAGCTTATTAGTAAGTCTCAAAGTTTGACCGGGAAGCAATCTTTTTCAGAAATGGTCGTTTAACAGCAGACTAAAAGTAACTAAAAGTTAAAGAACTGTGTCCTATAATTTTGAGATACTTTGAGTATTCTGCTATTGTATAATGTCGTTCCACTACAACTACAGGGTAATACTGTACTTTTTACTTAACTACTTGTATTTAAATGCTTCAGTTACTTTTCAGAGATGTACAGCCACACTAGCAGCTCTGTGAGGATGTACACCGCTGCTTTCAGCTAAATGCTAACGTCAACATGCTAACAGGCTTACAATGTCAACGCTGACATGTTACTGTTTACCGTGTTAGTGTAGTAATTTGCTAACACTGAGCACAAATGCCATTAATTTTTGAAATGACATGAATGTCCATACAAAATGTTATTTAAATCCTGAAACATTTGATAACGATATAAAATATAATGCATTGTTCTTGAAAAAATATATATATATATATATATATATATATACACATACATACATACACACACACACACACACACACACACACACACACACACACCCCATTAATATCTTACCACATTTTTTGTGAACCCTTGGAGGGGCCTAATGACCGTAGGTTGGGATCCGCTGGACTGAGCTACCAAACTGTAGTAGTAAAATTAGTATCTCCAAAATTACTGCTTTAGTATTAACAATCTAATAGTGTAGTATATAAAATATCACTTACAGGGGACATTTTTCGACATAGTGTGCACTTACTTTTGATACTTTAAGTACATTTTGTAATGAAAACATGACTTTTACAGTAGTGTACTGAGTTTTCTTACGGTGTAACTAATTCACTTAAAGGTGTTAAACAGTTGTGGAATTATAATTAACAGTGAATATGGAGGAGGAGGGTGGCTGGTGGATTAAAGGCAGACAAACAGTATGGAAAATAGAAGGAGGAGGAGAAATCAAGATAAAGACAGTTCAGGCAGAGGAAAGGGGGGATAAAGAGGAGGAGAGAAAGCATGGCATGACACCTGAGAGTGATCAAGCACTGCCTCATTAACTGACTGCTTGGAAGCAGGACATGGCATATTTGTTGTAATTGGTTGTACTGTAACAATGAAAGAATAGCTGCTCTGGTCCCAAACAAACAACTAGTACGAGCATCAGTCATAGCAAATATCACATGTAATGTAAGTTTAACAGTTCGGACAGGTGGTTAGGTCTCATTTAATGAGGCGTGTTGTTGTGTTTGAGAATGGGAACAATTTATGGTGCTGAATAGGCAGGAGGCAGAGGGTAGATCCCATTATCAGCTCAGCAGGGGATAAGCTGGGAGAACAGGTCGATGACACAGACCCTTGGCTGGAATATGGTGGCACCATAGTGGCCTCAATCCTAATTGAACATCTGGATAAGACACAACACAGGGGGCAGATTGAGCAAAAACTTGGGGGAGAGGAAGTGAGCAAAGCTGAGGGTATGGAAACTGGATGACAGTCTCTAGTTTGGAGTAAACTATAGTTCCTCATATCATTCATTTTTGTTTAAATGTGTTCATATATCTTAAATGAGATTGAAAAGAACAATGGGCTGTGATGGTTTACAGAGAGAGATTCAAATAAAGGAAGAAAGACGGAGTAGATGAAAGAAAAGGCGAGTGCAGAGGTAAAGCTGTAGTGGATGATCTGTGATGGAAGCTAAGCCTGATTACCTCTGACATAAAGACATGCGGGAAAGAGCGCTCACTCACAATAGACAAAGGCAATCACGCATTGTGCCCACACTCTCTCTCTCTCACACACACACACAAACATTACATCTGTTTATTGGTGGAAAATGTACTCAGATCCTTTACTTAAGTGAAAGTAGTAGTACCACAATGTAAAAGTACTCTGTAAGTCACAGTCCTGCATAATAAAAATACTGAAAAATTATCAGCAAGTGGCATCTTTCAGTGTTATATTAGTAATATTAGGCTTCACGCGTAGTCAATAAATGCATCATATTTTTGATGAAAGGAAAGTAACAGGTAACCCCAGTTGTACATGCAGTACAGTAAAAACTGGAACAGTATTTCATAATGAAATATTTTAACTGTATAAAGTAGTATTAAAAAAGTATTCAAATTAAGCATTAAGTTGCATTAAATGGAAACACTCAACTACAATTACCTCCAAATTGTACCAATGTACAGTGGTTGAGTAAATGTACTTAATTTCCGCCATTGCCCTTTGTATAAGCACACATACACAGTGTGGTGATTTTTGTGTGTGTATGTTGTGATGAAAGCAGTGAAAGAGATTTAGTTTTCAACATTTTAAAGGCAATGCTGCCCTCCTGTGGCCACAGGTAGAATAGTCTACGTGAACTTGACATTTGCACAGCAAGTTAAAAAACTGCAGCAAAGCAAAGTTGCTTATACCTGTGAGTTTTATTGTGAAATCTTTAAGGTACTCTACACAGGAGTGCACAGGCCTTACAAAACATGCCCTGCATGCATCAACATTGTCGTAATAATCTACTGCTGTTCTTACAGAAAACCTGAACACAAACAAAATGTACAAAACTACAAAACGATACGATTAGTAAAAAAGAAGAAATATATTTTAAAAAAACTTTCCCTCATGCTATTTATAGTATAAAAAATGCCCCCCCAATATTCACAGAAAAAAAAGGCACAATGAAATGTCAAAGACAGGCCAAAACAAAATATAGGCACAAACTTCAAGGGTAATAATTGTAGTGTTTGAATAGTGGCATTACACAGAGACAGATACATAGTACGAGGCTCAATAGACACATTAAGGATCACTTTCTGCAGATGTTTCTGTGTTAAAATGTTTGGGAGTGCAGAAGTGGAGTAAGGAAGGTGACAGCAATGACACAAAAATTGAGATTTGAAAAAGGAAAGGGAAAGAAGCAGGGAGAAAGACAGCGGAGGATAGGAAGGAGGGTCACAGAGGAAGTCATCTCCAGCTCATGACAACAAACAGAGCAAAAACAAGAAGACTTGAAAAAGAGGAGTGGACTTAAGTGTCCCAATCTAGGTCAGGAGGCACAACGCCAGCGCTGCCGCTCCCCAAAATCTTTCCTCCCTCTTTCCCCTGCTCCTCCTTCTCCAGAGAAAACTGGAGAGGAAATGCTGGCAGAGCCCTCCCTCTCCCCCCCTCAATTTGTGCCTCTCCTGGTTTCTTTCTTACCCTCACAAATCTCATTCTCTCTCATTTCCCCTTTCTCCTTACTCCCCACTACCATTGCTTTTATACTTCCTTCTTTTTGCATTCTCACCCCCCCCCCACCCCCATACATGCCTGACACTACTAAATCAGCATCATGTGGGCTTAATGGAAACCAGACCCTTACCCAGTCCTCTCTCTCCTGCAGGCTTCTCCCTTGTACACTTAATGAGCTTAAACTTTGTAGCTTTAGCATGAAAAAAAAGGACTTACAGACAGACGGGCACTCCACTCTTGCTATGGTTTTACTCTTTACAGGTCAAGATGAGATGGACAGAATTAGCAAAATACCATTATTCTTGTTAAATGTGACTAAATCCCCCTCCTCTTGTATTTCATCCCAGCCCGGCACCAGTCGTATATCAATATGTCTCCTCTGGGATTGTGTTTTTAGTGGTGCAGTCTGAACGTGGCTGGAGGAGGGGAAAGCTGGAGCCCTTGTGTCTGTGCAAAAAAACTCTATGTGCCTTTGTTTAGGTAAGTGGTCTCTATGTCTTGGTGTGTGTGTGTGTGTGGACAAGCATGCACAAATGAGTTGAGTTAGGTTTTTTTTTTAGATCATGTGACCTTGGCGTGCGTGTCTGAGTAAGAGAGAGGGCAGACATAATGGGCTCAGTGGTAGACACAGCTGTCTGACATTTCTGCGCTGGTCAGAGGATGAGCTTCTTCTGCTAGTGTGTGTCTGTGTGTTTAATAAACAGAGTTCTGCATTGCATTGCGCACACACACACACACACACACACACACACACACACACACACACACACACCTGCAGTGAAGCAACCTCAGCAAAACAAAGAATCAAAAGTGCAAATTATAACTAAGAAAATGTCAAGATTGGTAAAGGCACCATAGTCAAATATAATGGTAGACTTTATAAGTATATTTGTTTTCATCTCTATAAGCACTCGTGTGAGTATGTACAGTATGTGTGCTTCTGTGTAGTGTATGTGCATTATCGACTTGTCTGCATTTTTACTACAAATTAATCATCTGTCCTAGAATTGACAGAAACGGACATTGTGTCATGTGTCTTCTACGGTACAAATCTGGAGGCTGAAATATCTTTTTTATGTTGTGATGAAATAAATGTGAATTTTTAAGAAAGAGTTACTTTTTCAGACTGGGTGGCACAGGAAAGAATCTTCCAAGGCCAGTAGAAAGAAATGTACACTGGAGCTCCACAGGCGTGGACTTTACTACTTTTGCATTACGTCACATTAGCAATAAAAGTTTTCACAATGAATGGGGCCCTAAACGGTCCTTGGCTTTCTATGACTTAAGTACTGCGTTGAAGCTTCTTTCCGAGTACAAATTTTGACACCAACGACTGTACCAGACAAATGATGAATACCCGTTCTATCTCTTCCACTTCTGTGCCTCATACCCAGTCCTGCAACGAACGTTTGCAGTGCACCAAGGCCCTTGGCGTCTCTTTCTTCTGCAGAGTCCTGAGGATTGCGTAGATTAGGACCAGAATGCACAGGATAAGCACCAGAGGAACAATCACCATGATCAGGGTCATGACCTTTGATTCATTGTCGGCCACCGTCACGACCACATTCACCTCTTTGTCCTCCTCCTCCTCCTCCACCTCTCTGCTGTCATGCTTAGAGTTTTTATCTTCCTCTGGCTCTGTGTTTTTGTCCCGGCCCCTGTCCGGCTCTTTGTGCTCATCTTTGCCTCGATCTGAAGGGTTGACTGGTTTGTCTTTTGGTTCCTGCTCAGTGTCTGTATCAGGCTTAGGTTCAGGGACTCCCACACAGCCCATGAAATCCTTCAGGATGGAGCGAGGGTAGCCTTTGTCTGCTTCTGTCTTGTGGTTGTCAAACCTCCAGTAATTGGTGCCTTTGTAGAAATAGGTGTAAGCTGCATGAGAGAAAGATAAAAGACAATTAAGGCAGCCAGCCAACTCGTGCAATGGATTATTATGGGAATATAGACACTTTCAATGGTAACAACATAAACAAACGGTACTGCACAATGCGCATGTGCATTACTCTGGCCCAAACTTAACTTCCGGCAGACTTACACAAGCAATCCATAACAAGTAAATAACCTTAGCTGCCAGTCGAAGAAAAGAAACGTTACTTGGACAAACTGAAATGTGATAAGGTCACACTAGCAGACCCGTTGACCTGTCTGAAGGTGGCAGCAGCAGCTACGG